TTACTGGACCAACTTCTGTTAGTGAGAGACAAGCTTTTATGTTTACAGAATGCTGCGTAAGCTCAGAAGCTTGTCTCTCACCAACAGAAGTTGGTCCAGTAAAAGCTGTTACCTTGCCCATCTTATCTTTTTGCTGGTCAGCCATTTTGCTCTTTCATTCCCAGTGTGTGCACACCTCACTGTAATGAGCCCTTAAGAGGAATCCGCATGAATTAGGGCTTTCTAGGATTGACCATGTGCTCAACATCCTTCTTGAAAAAAGATGCAGGGTGGAAGCATTTTAATCCCCATTGTTGTAGTGCTTTCCCATTCTTCTTTTACTTCCTGTTTTCCTCCTTTTGTCCTCCTGTTCGCTTACTTCCCCACTGCATCTCTCTCTCCTGTCACCTACAACCAGGCCTCTCAGTCTGCCACACCCACTAATGCACTGTCAGGCCATACTGAGGAGGTGAATGCAATGCTACCTACCATGAAGGTAGAAGTACTGCAGCACTTCCTTTTCCTGACTGTCTGGTGCTTCATCATAGCACACCAGCCCATCATGTATATTTCAGAAGTCAACAGCCCCTGCAGCCTCCCCACACAGTCTAATTGTTATATTTCTGATGCATTTTGATTTTTTTATAGTTTTGCACTAGCAAGTCTGTGAAATATTTCATAATTGCCAAACGCCTAACATATTAGTACCTCTTTCCTCTTGCCTTAATAAAGGTAGTTTATTTCATAAATTGTTTCCTCTGAGTAAAGAATTCCATCTTAATTTATTTTGTGCCTAGCAATATCCCTTTTGTTCTTGTATTTAACACTTGTTCAAATAGCCCTTGAACATCCATCTTCTGTCCTCTAAGAGTTTAATACCTCAGTAAATTCCCCTCTCTTTCTTGTTTTCCAAAGAATGCCAGTTTACTGTAACAGTACACTCTGATCTTGATGCAGGTTGACATTTCAAGTTCCCTTATGGATTTCTGTCCAGTGTCCACCATACTGTGTCTTGCCCTGCTCACACGCATGTAATTCTCCTTTGTTTTAAGTCCCTAATACCTTCACTGTCTGTCCTTTATAACTAGAGCCTTCCTGTTTGGGGCCTAATTCACTGGAATAATTGAGGGTGGTTTTTGATTACAGGATCAGACTGAAGGGGGAGTGTCACAAAAAAAGTGCATTGGTGTACATGGGGGAGATTGTTCTGCAGTGTGCTGTATCTGTATTTATTCACATCTGTGGTTTCAAGGATAATACCTTCTTCCACTGTGACTTGGGTACTATGGGTAGTCAACTCTCCCACCAGCACATCACTACTTCTAAGAGCCATAGTTTGGGCTCAGGTTTGCTGACAGTGAATTTTAGCAGATTCCAGTTGCTTTCCTTCATTATGACAAAAAACTCAATTAACTGATGTTTAGTTTTCATGCTACACATTTGTGCATTTCACACTTAGTTTTTTTTAATGTGTCCTATCATTGAATAGGTAGTGGAATCAATGGCTATGACAGTTACTATGACATTCTAGCCTCTCTATAGTTTAACCTAATATATATGTACCTGGTCAGATGGATTCAGGAAAGGCATGGAGCAGTCTCAGGACCTTCACAGGAAAATCCTTTGTTGCTAAGCTACCATAAAGCAACTGTGAAAGAGTTGGAGGGAGTGCTAGAGCTGCTATCTGACTGCAAGTCTGCAGGAAATTCAGAACTATAACAGCTGACCAGATGCAGTCTAAAGAACACCAGGAAAGGCTGTTAGAGTACAAGGAGCTCTTGACCTGAAGTTGCTGAAATTCAGTTTCAGGGGTGGGAACAAATAGTAGGAATCTGAGTCTAAGAGTACGTCTACACTACACGATTAATTCGAATTTAGCTAATTCGAATTTGGTAAACCGGTTGTATTAATTCGATTGTATGCGGCCACACTAAGCACACTAATTCGGTTGTGTGCGTCCATGTACTGGGGCTAGCGTCGATTTCTGGAGCGTTGCACTGTGGGTAGCTATCCCATAGCTATCCCATAGTTCCCGGAGTCTCCCCTGCCCATTGGAATTCTGGGTTGAGATCCCAGTGCCTGATGGGACCAAAACATTGTCGCAGGTGGTTCTGGGTACAGCCTCACCCCTCCCTCCCTCCCCCCCTCCCTGCATGAAAGCAACGGACGGCAGACAACCATTTCGCGCCTTTTTTCCTGGCTGAACGCAGCAGACTCCATACCACGGCAAGCATGGAGCCCGCTCAGCTCAAGAAAGCAGTCATGAACATTGTAAATACCTCGCGCCTTATCGTACAGTTTATGCTGAACAAGAACCTTGAAAACCAGGCACAGAGGAGCAGGCTACAGCAGCGCGGCGACGAGAGTGATGAGGACATGGACATGGAATTCTATCGAGCCGCGGGACCCGGTGCTTTGGAGATCATGCTGTTAATGGGGCAGGTTATAGGCATGGAACGCCGATTCTGGGCCCGGGAAACAAGCACAGACTGGTGGGACCGCATAGTGTTGCAGGTGTGGGACGATTCCCAGTGGCTGCGGAACTTTCGCATGCGTAAGGGCACTTTCATGGAACTTTGTGACTTGCTTTCCCCTGCCCTGAAGCGCCAGAATACCAGGATGAGAGCAGCCCTCACAGTGGAGAAGCGAGTGGCAATAGCCCTGTGGAAGCTTGCAACGCCAGACAGCTACCGGTCAGTGGGGAATCAATTTGGAGTGGGCAAATCTACTGTGGGGGCTGCTGTGATACAAGTAGCCAAAGCAATCACTGAGGTGCTGCTACACAAGCTAGTGACTCTGGGGGATGTGCAGGTCATAGTGGATGGCTTTGCTGCAATGGGATTCCCTAACTGTGGTGGGGCGATAGATGGAACCCACATCCCTATCTTGGCACCGGAGCACCAGGGTACCCAGTACGTAAACCGCAAGGGGTACTTTTCAATGGTGCTGCAAGCACTGGTGGATCACAAGGGACGTTTTACCGACATCAACGTGGGCTGGCCGGGAAGGGTTCATGATGCACGCGTCTTCAGGAACACTAATCTGTTTAAACGGCTGCAGCAAGGGACTTACTTCCCGGACCAGAAAATAACCGTTGGTGATGTTGAAATGCCTATCGTTATCCTTGGGGACCCAGCCTACCCCTTAATGCCATGGCTCATGAAGCCATACACAGGCAGCCTGGACAGGAGTCAGGAGCTGTTTAACTACAGGCTGAGCAAGTGCAGAATGGTGGTAGAATGTGCATTTGGCCGTTTAAAGGCGCGCTGGCGCAGCTTACTAACTCGCTCTGACCTCAGCCAAAGAAATCTCCCCATTGTTATTTCTGCTTGCTGTGTGCTCCACAATCTCTGTGAAAGTAAGGGGGAGACCTTTATGTCCGGGTGGGAGGCTGAGGCAAATCGCCTGGCTGCTGATTACGCGCAGCCAGACACCAGGGCGATTAGAAGAACACACCAGGAAGCAGTGTGCATCAGAGAAGCTCTGAAAACCAGTTTCATGACTGGCCAGGCTACAGTGTGAAATTTCTGTTTGTTTCTCCCTTCATGAAAACCAGCCCCCTTCATTCTCATTCATTCTCTGTAAGCAACCCACCCTCCCCCCAGCTTTCTTTCAAAGGTAATAAAGTCACTATCGTTTAAAAATCATGTATTCTTTATTAAGTGATTATGAACATAGGGAGA